TTAGTCCATGTGTTAGGCAATTATTATGTGTAGTCCATGTGTTGGGCATTTATCACATTCAGTCCATGTGTTGGACATTCATTTTTCAGTCCATGTGTTGGGTAATTTTCATATGAAGTCCATGTGTTGGACATCCACTACTTCTAGTTTTGGTCCATGCGTTGGACACATGTTTATACCTTGAGTTAGGCACTTATACTTACATAGGTTGGACATGATACTTATGCGGGTTGTGACATGGCATGGTATTTAAGTTCTGAGATGGGTTTGTCTTCTTTTATTATTGTTCCTGTATTAGATTTTGGGTTTGATATTTAGGGATTTACAATTTGAGCTACAAGGTATATACATGAGGGTTTCCTTGTTTGGATTATTTCGCTCGACGTACCTATGCTCGTGTTGTAATTTCCTAAGTACTAAAACCCTCTTATCATTAGTGATCTACAATTTGAGCTACAAAGGTATATACATGAGGGTTTCCTTGTTTGGATTTTTCGCTCGATGTACTTGTTCTATTTAGTTAGGGGTTAAGTGGGGGTATTTACATTTTTGATGGTTAAGTATAGACATCGAAGATGATTTTCGGAAGCACGAAGATGCTATGTAGCGCTACATCCTACACCTATTGAGGAAGTGGATTGATTCAAGTGTGTAATTATTTGTGTGGTTATATTTAGATTTAACGCTAGAATGAGGATGTTTCCGCTTAATTCTTAATCTTTTGGAACACATGGGGGGTTCCTTGTTTGGATTTTTCGCCCGATGTACTAGTTCTATTTGATTAAGGATTGAGGGGGGATATAATCATCCTAGATTGTTAAATATAAATATCGCTATATGCTTATCTAGAGTAATATTACGAGATGTTCATGTATGCAGGTTGAATTAGACCCTCAACGTGCTTTTTCTAGTATTATTATCTGTTTAAGTATGATTTCCGAATTTTGAGGACGAAATTCTTTTGAGGGGAAAGAATATAAAACCCCGTATTTTTGTTAGAAGACTATGTAAATTATTGATGATAAATAATTCTATTGTGGTAAATAACTTGAGGTCATGGACATACCTGATAACAAGTTATTAGAGATACATGAGTGTATTTATATTGGGTTTTGTGCATTTGGTTTTGGCAAATTAGCAAAACATGCACGAATCTGGAAAACGTCTTCTTAGTCAACTCATGAGTCAACTTATGAGTCGACCAATGAGTCGACTTACGAGCTGATTTTTAGTTTTTCTTTTAGATTGCGGATCTGTTCGGTTTTGTTTCGGGTTTGACCGTATTATATAAGCTCTTCTACCCGAAAACACCTCTCATCTTCATCAGACCTCAGAGAAAACCCTAGCCCCCTCTCTCCTCTCAAACCATAGCTTCGTGTTTGGTGATTTTTGGGGAACTTTCGGAAGATTTGCAGTGGGTTTTGGCGCGGTGCAGCGAAGGGGATCGATCTCTTGCGGATCCAGGAGTTGTTTAGCACATCTCAGGTGAGTAACATCTCGCCCAGCCCTACTCCCATTTTATTCGGATTTTATAAAAGTTTTATTTCGGTTTTATTGAGCCTAACTCACTATTTTTGTGTATAAAAGTAGATCTTTATGGTATATGATGCGGAAATCAAATTTTCAGTTTATAAAAAACTCACCAACGATTTTTAATACAGAGATCTAGATCTGAAACCACTTTAATAAGAGATTAAAGTTTCGTTTTATTGTCTTTAAATGTTTAAATCATGTGTATACATGTTTCAGATTTTTAGTGATGATTTTACATATTAAAATATCATTTTATACTGCTTAATATATGTTAGAACATGTATTTTATGCTTAGGAGGTAATGATGTTGCAAATAATCACAATATGCGAAACTGGAAAATTTGGTCTGCTCAGTCGACCTGTCAGTCGACTTATCAGTCGACTTATGAGTCGATTGATGAGTCGACTAATGAGTCGACTGACGGGAAATTTTATAGTTTTTCTTCTCTTCTGTCTGTCAGGTCGACCAATGAGTCGATCGATGATCCCAGTCGACTCATGAGTCGACTGATGAGGAAAATTCCAGTTTTCCTCGGTTTGGATCTGTTTGGATTATTTCTGTTTAACCGAAACTATTTGGACATGTTTACTGTTATGGCGTGTTTCTATGTGAACGAGGAGTCACCTCAAATATTTGATATTAGAAATTTATGTTTATTTTGTATCTCTATAGGTGAGATGACTTACGGACACGAGTTTAGTTTTGCACACCGAGACACGTGTGAAATTTGTGTATATGCATCTTTTCATATATTGCATTTAGTCCATGTGTTGGGCAATTATTATGTGTGGTCCATGTGTTGGGCATTTATCACATTCAGTCCATGTGTTGAACATTTATTTTTCAGTCCATGTGTTGGACAATTTTCATATGCAGTCCATGTGTTGGACATCCACTACTTCTAGTTTTGGTCCATGTGTTGGACACCTATTTATACCTTGAGTATGACACTTATACTTACATAGGCTGGACATGATACTTATGTGGGTTGTGACATGACATTGTATTTAAGTTCTAAGATGGGTTTGTCTTCTTTTATTATTGTTCCTGTATTAGATTTCGGGTTTGGTATTGATGATACAAGAGATAAACTGATGAAATAAGAATAGAGATCAACTTAATATTTTCATCATCCAACATACAAAATAAATCAGATCAATGTCTGAAATTAAATAAACGTGAGATCTCAACAAGGTCTCAAGTACAACAATATCTGAATAAGGAAAATTAAAAGGCCACACAGCCTTTACAACTTCTAGAATAAATCCCTCAAATGGTCTAAACAAGATCTCAGGTGCACTCAAAAAAATATACTAAAATAGATAGCTGAAGCTAAAGCGTGTATTCGCCATCAACTTGCGACTCTCCGGGCTCCTGGCTCGTTACCTGAAAAGGGGAGGGACAACGAGCATCAAAAAATGCTAGCGGGGAGCAACATCAACAACTAACCCAAGGGAAAGGGGCTCGTTGTATACAGAAAATACAGTTATAATATAATATATAAAATATCACGGATCCTAATTTTAGGAATTACAATATGAGCTTAAGTCACGTCGGGAGCAAAATAATCCAAATAAGGGAAACGCCTCATGTATATACCTGTGTTAGCTCAATTGTAGATCCCTAGATGATAAAGAGGGTTTTTAGGTACTTAGGAAATTAAACACGAGCTCAGGTACGTCAGCGGAAATAATCCAGAACAAGGAAACCCTCATGTGATCATACCTTGTAGCTCAATTATGAAATCCCTAA